GATGGCCGTTTTCCTGGCCCTCATTGTCCCTCTTCCGTTCACCATCAAGCGCAAGCTTTTCGCCTTCATCTCGGAGAGTCCTATCATTGCCAAGCTGCAATATGGCCTAAAGGTAGTGTTTCATTGCCTGGATAACATGCTGAGCCGAACTAACATCACACAGATTACCTTTATCTTTATCCTGATCCTCTTCCTTGACAGTGTTAACCGTGTGTATCGCGTTCAGCAAGAACTGGCTGCCTTCTCCAAGGATGGCGCCGGTGTTGGGTAAGCTTCCTTCTCGTATAATTCAATCAATTAATCAAAACTAACCCACAACCGTCATCGCAGAGCTGCTCACCTGGGAACCGACCGTATGGAGGTGCAAGCACGCAAGTTCTACTCGCAGCGCAACATGTACCTTTGTGGTTTCACTCTCTTCCTCTCCTTGATCTTGAACCGCACCTACATCATGATCCTCGAGGTTCTCCGTCTCGAGGACCGTGTCAAGCTGCTCGAAGGCGACAAGAAGGCCGGTGGTAAGGACTCTGCTCGTATTGCCGAGGCCGGCTCTGTCGGTGAGATTGGCGCTCTGAAGAAGGAGCTTGAGGCCAAGGATCGTGACATTGAGACTCTCAAGAAGCAATGCGAAGGTCTCACCCGCGAGTACCACAAGCTTGGAGATGAGGTTTCCAACGAAAAGGGGGACAAGAACGTCAAGAAGGACCTGTAAAGGACTCCCAATCACGTTCTGAATAGCAACTTCACACTTCCCGCGCCTTGATCTTGTCATATCACTTCTTCGTCATCGGCATGGAAGAGTCCTGAGTCTGTTATCATGATTGAATGATACCTGACACATTATGGGCTACACGTATTCGAGAACTGTTCATAGAATTCCCCACACCCTTGCGTTTGTGGCCCCGAGATGAGTCTGGGGGTTGAATTACCTCCACCAAGATAGCTTGGCCATTGCTTCATCCCCTCCAATCTCATCAGCAGCCTTTTGATTCTGAAACAGGAGCAATAAATTGGAGAGCTTTGAAAGCACCCTCTATCCTATTCGCGAAGGTCCTTTTTTTACAGTCTTGAACAAGAATATCTTGTATCTGAAGATAGTTTCTAGGGTCATAAAATCATCCTTTTATTTCACAATCATTAAGCTGTCATAAATGTACACATGTAACTGACTTTGCCAAGAGAGATATTACCAGTGAAGCTGGTGCAAGGTCCAACAAGGCCCTTAAACAAGGAACGTCCAAAAACTAGGATATACTAATTCTTCCTCGAAAATCCGGCGTACCTGCGCGAGAACAAATCGTTCCACCTTGCCAACATTCTTCAAGACTTGTTTGCCATCTTCCTTTCGGCCAATCTCACTATCGACTCGGATCTCCTGCAACAAGCCTCCTTGACGTTTTTGGTCTCCAGACCGGGGCCGCCCATCCTCGCTAGTATTCTGGTTTCCCTGCCCGGCCTCCTGCTCAGAACCGAGAAGAGCGTCTGCGTCTTCAGGAGAGAGGAAGCAGAAATGCACACGCTTTCGAATATATGCAACAACCGCAACCCCGTCAAAGGTGATGCCGGTGACATTAAGTTTCAGAGGAAGACCCACGAAGCTAGGCATCGGATAGTCTAGCAGAATTTCGGCGGTCAGAGACATGCGAACGTCGCCCGCATATCTAGCATGACAGAGGATCTGAAAGTCTTCCGGTCGGCGCTCGCGCATTCGCGGTGGAAGCGGGGCGGAGGGGTCGATAGCGGGTTCTATTGAAGGTTGGGGTATATCGGCGGGATCGGTACTATTCCTCGACCCGCTACTACCAGTATGTCCAATCGAAGGGTGGGAAGGGTGTGTATTTGCGGTTGAAGGTCGTGAGGCAGAATTGGTCGTATCTATGTCGGCATCCATGCGATGGTGTAGTTGTGTAGAAGGGCGTTGCAGGCGCGGTCTGCCATGTGCCAGGCCGGAATCCGACCATCCACTCGCGAAAGACGTACCACCTGCTACCGCTGCCAGGGGAGTTTGTGTTCCTGATAAACCGCCCAGTGACATGAGATGGTAACCGAAGAGTCGATGTGCCCCCCGGATACCGGGGGTACCTGCCCGAGGAAGGAAATGCGGATTCAAGTGGTCTCCCATGGGCAGCGGGGATCGAAGGGCAGAAGGCTGATATCCCTCCCCTGGGTACGGGTGGTGACTGAAGTTGCCGGGGCTGTGTCCAAGCAGTTCCTCTTCGTAGGGCGACTCGTGTAGCTCCGAATGTTGTCCAGACCACGGGTGGCCATGCTCGTCAACGAGCTCCTCGGAGGTAGTTGAAGTGTCGTCATCGTCATCCTCCTCATAAAAATCCGAAAATGGCTCGCAAAAGTCCTTGATCTCGAGATCCGGGGCAATTGTTCCAAACTCAAAAGCATGGACCTGCACGGAGCGAATAAAGCGCGGTAGAGCTACCTGCTGGAACTTGTCGTGCACGAATGAGCGGATGCGTTCTGCCAGAGCCTCTCCATCTGGGCCGGAGGTGGCGGTTGCCCAATCGACTTCGATGGACATCACATATGCGACGCGACAACCACGGGCTCATGAAATGCGAAAGCCTGACGCGGTGATAGTCACGGTCACGGGTGGGATTATTTGTCAAGGCGATTACCCTAAGGTCCAGTTGGATCGCTGATGTGTGTCACGTGATATAGAGATAAGATCGGCGCTCAATCGGGGCCATTCCACTTATGCAACGCATTGAACTGGACTTGAAGATCACTCTGGTTGTTCCTGTGGAACTTTCCAGTCAGATCATTGACAGAAGGATTGCAGCTTCGTTTCCCACCATGATCCTTGCTCAGGGACTTCATCGTATCTTCATTGCCAATAACCGACAATGACTTTCACCATTCAATTCTGGCATCCCCGCGAGCGTGGCGGATCGCCTAACGCTACCAGACCCGATTATAGTGATCGCTCGGCCATGGACGCTAGTGTTGGTCTACCGAATCACACAGGGACGCACATTTCTAGCCCCTAAAAGTTTAGGAAATTGCAAGTGATATCTCAGATTCTGCTCCCCGGGCCAATCGCCCTCGGTCCTCGAATGGCCCAACATGGCGCCTGGATTTCAGATCCCTTTGCCACAATTATCCAACCCACCCCTACCACAACGGGCCCTCGCGTAAAGCTATGGTCCCCAAGGATCCCCGGACCAATTCATGGACCCCCGTCATTGCGGTCTCCCCAATTAGTGCTCAGTCAAACCCCAGATCCATGAACATGCTAGTTAATGGGGGCAAGTGCTTTCATGGTTGAGTTTACCTGTCTCGAATGATTAATACATGGGGTGCCTACAGACCGCTATCTCTCCAGAAAAGGCTGGCAAGTACGGAGTAGCTGGTCACTTGTTTCTCACCCCACGATCAGATGATACGAACCGCCTGCGGGGCCTACCCTAGAGCAATGCAACCCATGAGGATCTGTTCGCGGATAAGAACCTATAACTAACCCTGGAAATCATACTCCGCGGTTATAAAGCCCGGGTAATTCGTTGATTCAAGGGTCTCTAGTATGATTGTGGCCCAGAAAAAGAACCAATGACCAAGTGGTTCCCCTCCACACAATATTTTTTCCCGCTCTTTAAGGCGCTTTGGCGGGCATGTAAAGCTCTGCATTTTCCTGATTGAGGCATCGCAAGGCTGTCGTGTCGACCTTGATGGTCGGAGATATCCGTACTTTGATTTTTGTCACCGTACTCAACTAATTCGCATACTCTCGTCTGACGATCCTAAGAGAGTGTTGGATTCTTTCTGTTGTCTTTTGAGAGAACCGCGCACCGCCAATCCCTTAGACGCAAATGCGGAGCTACTCGACTACCGAAACCCAAAAGGGTTCCATGTTGTCTTTGATGTGGCGGGGCGACTGCAGATCATCGCCGGTGCTGGCAACCAAACCTGCATGAAAAGGATTCCAACACGCACAGCACAATGTCAATCATCATTTTTGTAGTTATTCTATATCTGATACATGTTGATTTCCTATTTGAAGGCTAGCTTCAAAATGTATAGGCTCGGTTTGCGTGTCGTATTGTCGAGAGTATGGGCATCTTCAAATGTCTGGTTCTTAACCCTCCCTCGCCAGAGATTTAAGATCATTATCTCATCAATATGAATTGCGCTAATCACCACTCGCGTGATTGTGAAAAAGTCTTACGGGGCGGCAAATCCTAACTTGTTGTAACTTCTCCACCTAAAGCCATGATAAGCGAAAAGGATCTAAGTGCGCTTCTAGGGCCTTGGCTAGATATAATTCCAAATCAACCATAGTCTACTAGTAGATCCCCATAGAAGGGTTCCAGAGCGGATCCGCACAGGCGTACTCGTCATCGAGTGTTGCGTTCAAGTTTATTTAGCGCTGAGTTCGCTTCGCCTCGTGTTAGATTGTTAGCAACTTTGAAACTTTTTAGGTAGGTTGTGTTCTTTGCATCAAAGTAGCAAATGGAATATATTCAAAATTTGGAATGAAGATACTAAAGACCACAGGTTCACAAATTTGAAAGACAAGAAGATTGGTAAATAAAAGAAAAAAAATAACAAGCTAATTCCGAGTCGAGAAGCAGATCTGACAGATCTCCGCGGCACATCTGGAGAGCCAAGCCATAAAGAATGATTCAGAAAAGCATCGAATGGAAGAGCTTAAAAAGGATAAAAAAAGACCACCCCGAGATTTCAACATGTGGGCTATAAAGACAAAGTTGAGCAGCAGAGAAACAAAAGCCCGTGGGACCGCCTCCGAATCCATGCAAAGAATAAAAGTAACAAATATTCATTGTCTGCCTCATTTTTGTGTACCAGGGAGAAGGGCGCTGTCTTGATGATCATACCAAGTCGACGTTGAGTGGTAATGTCTGAGAGGCTTCGGAATTCGTGTGATCGTTTCGCTCGCTAGTAATCGTCGTGTGAGCAGAAGCTTGTTCGGTCCAAGCTGATAGTAGCGAACTATAACCCCACTAACCTTGTTAGAATTTCTAGCCACCATGCTTAGAGCAGTTGTAGCCGTGTCGGCGGCGGAAGTGCTCCTTGATGCAATGGCACAATGGGGTGCCCTTTTTGGCACATGGTACCTCTCCTCCTTCTTTAAGGCAGCAGCCGCAGTCGTAGAGAAAGATGTAGACCGAGCACATTTTGATTTCAATGAGGAAGAGTGTCTCGTGAAATAGACTTATGAGAAAGGCAAAAAGTGGACTTGAGCTTGGGCTTAGGCTTGGGCACGGTCGTAGAGATGGAATTGTACTATCTGATGGAGAAAAGAAGGAGAGCTTGAACCGGCTTTATAGGAACTCGTGCTGGTACCCAGGAAGCATGACTGCGCCGAGTTACAGCACAGTCTGTACAAAGACTATGGACCGGTCTTTCCACAGGTGCTGTAAGAAATGGAGTGTCAACGCCCTATGCACCTAATGGAATAGTCATCACTCGCAGGGTGTTTTCCCGCTTCATTGCAGGGTGTAAACAAGAGGCATGTGCCAAAAATCCTTGGCTCGTACATCATCTCGCACCAACAAAAGACACTGTTTGGCGGTTAGGTGGGTCACCAGAAGGTGGAGGCCAGTGGGCTGCGCCTGGTGATCCTCCTGCGCACGCCAATGGCGAACACGGAGGGTCCCTCGGCCGTCGAACCTTGATCAAATCAACCATGCCCATTCCCAAATAGAGCTTAGATGTTGCATATTGCACTTGACATCATTCCATATGAATTGTCTTGTGGACACCAACAGGTCTTCCTCTCCTGCAAATTAGATCAAACCAACACAAGCCGCCAGGTACAGGCTGTAGCTCATATGACAAATGGCGAGTGATTCTTCAATCAATTATCCGTTCTAGGACAAGGCAAGGCACCTGCCATAGTCCTCGTAGTGGGGTTGCGCATTCGGGGGCCGGCACAGCAGAAGTCAAGGAGGGCCGAGGAGGGGCCAGAGAGGCCATTATCTGATACCGGCTGCTCCCGTTGGCTTAAGTAGAGTTTGTCAGATGACACTGAGATATTTCGAGAGCTTGTAATTCTGGTTGGTTCTTAGAAGAGCAGACATTTGAACCGAAAATATGGGAAACATTTACCTCTCCATGAGACCATAGAAGGCACCATGATGGCGGGGAAGCCGATGGTGGGCCGCCAGCTCCCACAAAGAGAGACAATACCCGAGTTGTGCGTCTAGAACAGAATCCGATATAATAGTCTCCATATTCTAGCCCCAAGGCTCAATTGCACAGCCAGACCAAGTCTCGCTACGCTGCCGCAGTTGGTGATAGTTGGTGATAGCGGCATGAGCCTGGCAGCGCTGCAAGGTGATGAGACATTCTAATCGCTATTTTTCGTTGGATGGGCACTCAGATAAGTTGGGCGATTACGAATGCAATTTCGAATGTAAAATCCTGGCGACGGTGGTGGTGGGCAGTGTCATTAGTGTTGGATGTATGTGATCGCACCAGAGCGGTACCCTATGGGTGATATGCTTCTCAATCTTTTGAAGGCCTACATTCGGCCCGGTGAAGAAATTCAAAGGGAAAATTGCTCCCTTCCAACAAATCAAGCCCAGGGATACCCCTGACTGGCAAGAAGGCAGAAAAAAAGCAGTGCTGGCTCTCCGCTCATAATGGGGCGGGGAGTTCAAGGTCTGAGGCTCTCTCAGCCGCCGTGGCCGGGAGATCGACTCCGAACAAGTAACACGCCGAGATAGTTACTGGGCGCCAAAGAGAGCACAGACTTAACTTTCAACCTTAGCCATTGGATTTGGCGCCGTTGGATTTTGAGCACAGCACCATTGCCGTGATTGTGACCTTGCGGATTTTCGGGAAAGAAGGGAAATAATTCAAGGCTGCTTTTTGCTCGCAGTGACAGCCTACCACGTGATGATCTAATGCAACTGCACCCTGGCACAGCTTCACTGAATGTTTGTAGTTTGCAGAAGCAGCCAAGCCAATGCCCTCCAGTTTCCAACTCATCTCCGTTACGCAGGGATACTAACTAGTATATCATCAAAATGATCGACTCAAGTCCAGACCTCACATGCGGGCAAAAACAATCTCCCCCCCACATTACGCAGCACCCACCCCAGAAATCGATCAGGGCCCTCGGCTAAAGAGGATCTCGTTCACGTCGCGAGAGATGAGCATGATGTCATGGATGGTGCATATATCTACAAACGGCAATGAAGTGCACCCCTACGAGGAAAGGAAGGAGAAGAGAAAACAAATCGGAGCCCATCAACCGTCACGATAGGGGGACTGACGCGGACGCAGTCGGGATGATCGGAGCAGAGACTAGCCACACATGAAACGAAACGATGGCGTGGTCCAGGCAGCTCGTAGCCTGTGAAAATCCACGGCTTTCCCACGCTGGGGAAACGTCTTGGCCCCTCATCCTGGCTGCGGATCTCTTCTTGGACTCTGACTTTCTTTGGCCTTCGGCTGGCAACGGGGGTCCGCCCAGGATCGGCCTGCCTTCCCGGAAAGAATTGCGGAATCAGGCGGGGTTGGACCTTTGCTGACTTGTCCAGGTTATCGTGCAGAGCAGTTACCTGCCAATTTTTTTCTCCGGTGGGAGGGAACCTGGGAATAACATTGACCCCAGATCCAGACCGACTCCCCTTCCAGAGGCAACTGGAATACCAAAGCCAAGAGAGAGGCGAAGTCGAAGAATTGGAAATTCAATAGTGAAGTCTTGGCTTTCAAGGGAGTGCTCCCCCTTTTTCCACAGAGCAAAGCCAAGACATGTGAGTGTCGGTATGTTTAGGATTTTCCGTTGATATTATTATGTACGGACAACTATCTGCGACAATCGCGGGGGAGGCCTGCATGACCTTCGGGTATCCACTTGCCTCCGGCTGAGATGAATGATGTGCTAGATCGACGCCAATGGCGCTCAGCATGAAAAAAAAAAAATAAAAAAATAAAAAAAACGCCCCTCATTCTCCAAGGTCCCTTAGCCCAGCTCGTGGTTATAAAGTCTGGTCGATTCCACCTACCCTGACTACCTTATATCATCCATCCCGAACTTCTCTCTCTCATACTTTGGTTCTGAAACTCCTGTCAACCTTCCAAACTACTACCACCCACACACAACCGTTTCCAAAACTCATTGAAAATGCCTTCCATCCCGCCTCCTCGCAACTTCCTCGTCCTGTCTGCTAGCAGCTCGGCTCCATTTGACCCTTCCAAGAAGTTTCTTGTCTTGTCACCCACCGAGTCTGGACCAGACCTTGCTGCCTATGAACAAGCCTTGACCGATTCCACCGAGCAAACCTCGGACTCGGAGGCTGTTCTGCACCGTTCCAACAGCACATCCTCTTCATCGTCGGAGGACTCTCAATTCGATGATGTTGCCGCTACGCTCCCAGCGGGCTTCCTCTTCCTGGGCCACCCTTCCCGACGACCTTCTCAGTGATTGATTTCAATCATCATTGACACCATTTTATTATTTCTTTAAAGTTCATGCGATATTTTATCATGACATCAGCGACCGATGCATTTTGTATTTTGTGTATCCAGCGGTCCCTTCGCTACGATGACCAAACGTCAGGTTCAGCCCAGAGGACAAGTACAAGAAACACCTCGACAATGAGGCCACTAACGAGAAAAGGTGGAAAAGCAGAAAGGGTGTTGGCGGCGCTATCTGATTAGGTCTATATCAGAACCATATTTGTCTTCTATTTATTTGGCTTTTTTTCGGACTACATACCAGCCCAGTGGGCAAGTTTGCAATCAAGATTGAATCTCTTTTGAACATTAACCAACCTTTATTCTATCTCCGTGAATTAGGGGACATACAGTAAAACTTGGGAGTTGCCTAGAACACCCCTCCCTATCCACAATGCCCAGACAATATTAAGCACACCTGCTGCGAGGGAGGTTCCATCCTGAATACTTGCCAAGTGCGCCAAGTGTCAATGATTATCCGCCAAGCCTTCACAGGTTTGATATTCCAGTCTTGGCTGTGCAGCATTATGAGGCTGGGGGGGTACCGCTTATCGCGGATCGCAGGTATGTTCCACAAGGTAGGTCATCCGGTGCGCCGTGAAGATCTCCAGAGTCCATTTTTGGGGCATTGCCACTGATGCCAAGGCTCCCTGTTGGCAACCCTCCCTTGTGCAATACTTCAATTCAGTCCACCCCTTTTCTACCAACCCTGTCCAACGATCTCACCGATAACACGTTGGGCACTTGCCTGATAGCATTGGCTTAGGAGGCCACATTACTTCCGTTTTGGGCTTTTTGGAAATGCTGTGTTGGTCTCCCCGGTGAGAATGTCGGTGGGGGCCCAGTTCCCCCGTAACCCCCTCCGTGAATCTCGCCCCATTCTCACCCCGCATCCTCGGTGAAGATCTGGCGACATGATATGCGCTGGTTACTTGATTGTTCATCTTCTCGGTGTATTCTTTGGTGGATAGCACGATATACACATCCAATAAGGTTGTGAACTTCTAGTCACATGGTCAAGTCTGTGGCTTTGCGATGCGTGCGACGCTGACATGTCTCATCTTTATTCGTGTAGGGCTCAGCGAGATAAAGTTTTAGTTAACGGCATGAGTAATAGTAATAATGATAGAAATATATCAGTGATAGTGTTCTCCACGGGTAGTTTCTACCCTTTCCAGTTGCATTATGGTAGGACTGGAGTTAGTGTATATTCCCTTCTTTGACAATGACACCAAAAATGCTAAGTCGCAGCACAAGGTCCTCACACGCGATAGTCTTACCCCTGGACAAAGAAGCTTCAGATACCCGTCTGATTCCAAGATTCCTAATGCATTGGACTAATTTGTCGACTGATAGTGTATCAATGCTATCAATGTCTTGAACATGAAGTTTTCTGGGCCTAAATTTCAAAATAGAGTTAACAGACTACCTATGGTTTAAGAAGTGATGATGTTTGTTGTAGGGCTTGGTCGCATTGAGAGGCAGTGCTCCGAGATATGAGGCGACATTCTTGGATAGTACCCCTGCGGGTTGTAGGTCATGAAGCCTTTACTAAAGCACATCCCGAGGTCCATTATCTGTACTGAATTCGTGCCGGTAGAGTTCCGTCTTAGTTCCCATTAATCCCTTTGCCAATCGAGAATTTTGTGCCCTGGAAATAAAGACCTAGAATCGTTTTGGAAGTGGCATTCTCATAGTACCAGTTGCGACGGCGCGGGGGGTAAATAAACGAGCGAGAATATCA